AGAGAGGGAGGGGTGTGCAAGAGAGGGAGGGGTGTGCAAGAGAGGGAGGGGTGTGCAAGAGAGGGAGGGGTGTGCAAGAGAGGGAGGGGTGTGCAAGAGAGGGAGGGGTGTGGTTGTTTTTAATTCATTTGTGGGACATGGGTGTCACTGGCTGGCCAGCATTTCTTGCCTGCCCCTAGTTGTCCTTGAGAAGGTGGTGGAGAACTGCCTTCTTCAACTGCTGCAGTCCTCCTGCTGTGGGTTGACCCACAATGCTATTAGGGAGGGAATTCCAGGATTTTGACCCAGCAACAGTGATGGAACAGCGATATATTTCCAAGTCAAGATGGTGATTGACTTGGAGGTGGTGGTGTTCCCACATACCTGCTGCTTTTGTCCCTCTAGATGGAAGAGGTCATGGTTTTGAAAGGTGCTGTCTGAGGATTTTTGGTGAATTTCTGCAGTGTATCTTGTAGATAGTACACACTGCTGCTACTGAGGTTTGGTGGTGGAGGGAGTGAATGCTCGTGGATGTAGTGCCAATCAAAGCGGGCTGCTTTGTCCTGGAAGGTGTCAAGCTTCTTGTGTGTGGTTGGGGCTGCACTCATCCAGCAAGTGGGGAGTATTCCATCACACTCCCGACTTGTGCCTTGTAGATGGTGGACAGGCTTTGAGGAGTCAGGAGGTGAGTTACTCACTGCAGTATTCCTAGTTTCTGACCTGTTCTTGCAGTCACTCTGTTAATGTGGTGAGTCCAGTTGAGTTTCTGGTCAATGGTAACCCCCAGGATGTTGATAGTGGGGGAATTCAGTGATGGTAACACTATTGAATGTAAAGGGGCAGTGGTTAGATTGTCTCTTATTGGTGATGGTCATAGCCTGGCATTTGTGTGGCGCGAATGTCACTTGCCACTTGTCAGCCCAAGCCTGGACATTGTCCAGATCTTGTTGCATTTGAACACGGACTGCTTCAGTATCTGAGGAGTCACGAGTGGTGCTGAACATTGTGCAATCATCGGCGAACATCCCCACTTCTGACCTTATGATGGAGGGGAGGTCACTGATGAAGCAGCTGAAGATGGTTGGGTCTAGGACACTACCGTGAGGAACTCCTGCAGAGATGTCCTGGAGCTGAGATGATTGACCTCCCACAACCACAACTATCTTCCTATGTGTCAGGTATGACTCCAACCACCAGAGCGTTTGACCCCTGATACCCATCGATTCCAGTTTTGCTTGGGCTCCTTGATGCCACACTCAGTCGAATGCAGCCTTGATATCAAGGGCTGTCACTCTCACCTCACCTCTGGAATTCAGGGGCAGTGGGGCACACGATGGCGGGGGGGGAGGTGGCAAGATGCATTGCAACAGCTACTTGCAGATGAATGAAAGGCACTGCTGGAAAGTCTTTGCTTGACTCGGGACACACCGACCTACATTTGCCACCACTTTCAGGCAGATCTGTAAGTGGGCAGTTTAAGATGCAGTCCTAAAATGCCTGTGGCGCTAAAGATCAAAGCGTCATTGAAATTCCTAGCCATTCTACAATTCTTGCAATATTACTTGTTAGCCAGAAATGAATGGTTTTTAAAAATAAATCGATTATGTCATTAGTTACTGCAAAAAAACTTCTCCAGTTTGGTGTAATACTTTCCAGTTAGTTAATGTTTGACTGTTGATTTTCATTTGTTAATCAGAGTTCGAGTCTTAAAACATAAAATCTTGACTTTCAGTTATTTCCATTCGTTGCTTGATTCTATGATTCCATGATTTGGGAAACTCATCTCTTTTTAAAAGTTACCACCTTAAAAAGGGAACAGGATTTGGAACAGGGATGAAAAGCAACGAATTCAAATCTTCACAAAATTTAAATGGAGGGAGTTCCTAATCAACCAGCAACGAACATGAGATAATCAGTGTTATAAATTAGCAGAGAAGTCAATAGAAACAGTGATAAGGTAGTGTTGAGTGCCTTCAGGGTACTTATGAAAACTCAGGCTCTGCTTTCAGCTACATCACCAACAGGCAGCATATCGATGCGATTGAGGAAAACATACATTGTTGGAGCACAGTAGACATAACAGTGCACAAGTCAGAAAATAAGTAATTTCAATTGACTCTTTGAACACGATTAGACAGAATAAAACAGAACCAGGTGAAAGCAGTTCCACCCAGCTAGATGACAGTGAGGACAGGTGCAAGATGGTATAATTAACTGTATAAAAAGGTTGCACATAAATTATGGTGGAAAGGAAGGGAAGATTGCTTTTGTCACAATCACATAGGATGTCATTTGTGACTTTAGTAAGAGCTGTTTCAATAATGTGGCAGGGGTGAAAACTTGTTTGGAGGCATTCAAACATGAGACTCCAGCAAAGATGAGCATGAATTTGAGACACATCACCACCTTCACTTTAATGAGAAAACAAAGATTAAAGGTGGGATGTAATTTGCAAGGACAATGGGATAGATTTGTTCTTTTTGCGGAGGGGTCACGATATAAATAGTTTTAAATTAACAAAGGACAAAACCAGGAGAGAAATTGTTAATAATAGTGATGAACACTGAAAGCGGGACGGAGAAGTTGGGCAATCAGCAGTTTAGTCAGAATGCAGTCAAGGGAGCAGAAGTGGGTTGCAGCGACAAGATTTACTTTTGAGAGCACAAGGAGAAGTAAGAGAGAAATCGGAGAAGGTTGAGAATAGTGGGTGATGGCAACTCTAGAGGAAGTCTGGCATGGTGGTCTGGAGAGAGGGACACAGCAGAGGTTAATTGGACGGTCTCAATCTTAGTGACAAAGTAGTTGATGACCTTCTTGCACACAATTGAAAGTAAGGGTAGTGGGGACAGGTAAAGGTCAAAAAGATGACAGTTTGCAGAGTAGAAAAGAAGCTGGGTTTATCTTTACCTTTCAGAATCATCCTTGAATAGACAACAATTTTAGCAGATCAGATTACAATTAGGCAGTGTTTTACACGCACCAACCAAATCTGGTGGTGGTTGGCTATACTAGTTGCCCATCAAGTTTTTGAGTCTGTGTCCCTTGGACTTAAAGATACAAAGATTGGCGCTGTTCAGAAGATAGCCAGAGTGACAGAGTAGTCGTTTTATTGGGGATTAATTTAGAGTTGAGCAAATCAGTGGTACTTATTTTGGTTATCTATCCATATTAATGAGTAATAAATTATCAGAGGTACCATCTTCTGCCTGAGTAGTTAAAAAAAATTGAACTGAGTTAAACTAGACATTAGTTGAAATGTATCAATTCTCACAATAACCTGGCCAATATTACTGAGGCTGACAGGTTAATTGACAGAGACCATCATAATTAGATTATTTATTCGTTGTGGGGCTTTGCTGCATTCAAATTGGCTGCAACTTTTCCACCTGTCAAGTATTATCTGTTGATTGTAAAATGTCTATGTAATTAAAGTTCCTTATTTTTCTTCATTTATATTCAACGGAGACCAAGCTCAAATGGCACAACAAAAATAAACGTGTGCTGCTATGTAGCAATACTACGCTGACCAAACACGAATATACCCAAATCAAATCATTAAAACCAAATTTTACCAGGTATACATTAAATAAAAGATGCATAAAAGTTTTATTTTAAAAAAAGAAAATTTCTTGACATTATCTGATAAACCATTTTAAAATCAGTGGTTTTGGTCAATATATTGTATGAGTTTTACCTGACCCATCGCCTTGTCCACATTCATCTGGCCCTTGACGGAAGGAAGTTGATCTCTGAAGTGCACCTTTTGACTGGTGCTTAAAGAGTGCAGAGGACAATTCTTCCAAGTTGCAACCCAGTAGATAGGCTGCTTTCTGACCCCATTCATGTCTGGCAAACTGTCTTCTCCCAGCTTGAATTTGTAACAATGAAAATCAATTTAGTGAGCATGTTCAAATCATTATAACTAAATAAAATTATACATTTAATATGGAAAAAAATACTAAATGAAGACAATGACAAAATGGACATTAACAGTTTGATAATGTCCAGTTGTAAAGAACAGACAGTTAATGCTAAGACCTAACTGCTGCTTGATTTCATTCTTCCAGTCAGAATATTTATTCTGTAAGTATTATTTATACCAGTATGGGAACACAATTGACTAGGATCCCTTTCTACATCGTTTTATTTCAATTCAGATTTGGATACTCTTTCATAGGTACTTAATTATGTTACACAGAAAATGCCATATTGAGTAAGGCTAGAAAGGAAAACTATTATCAGAATTTCACTCCAAATTCACATACCTAAATTTAAAACAGTACTATTCAAAGACGCATTTAAACAGCAAGATCAATGGTGGTTTATTTCAGATGAATAAAGCACATGCATATTCAGATGTTTATGAAGAACACTACATGCATAAATTCAACAGTAAAAGAACAAGACACAATAAAATAAAAGTAAGCAGTCTTTGACTTGTTCCTTTTCTCTGAATAATCAAAACTGGAGATAGTAGTTAAGATATGACTGGATTGCATTCTACTGTTTTGACTACATAGTGTTCCTTTGCCATGACAATTGATGGTCCATAGTGGGTTTCTTTATTGAGCACAGGTCTAAGACTTCAGATTTATCTTAATTTCATCTAAAACTGTTTCAATATCATTCATGCAGGCCATCTTTCTATACAATATTTCGCATATCATATCCCATGGATTTACTTATTTACATATTTTGTACAACTGATTTTGTATCATCTCTGCACTACCTCTTAAAATCAAATGGCCTTCTCCAGTTTGATGTTAATTGTTATGGTCACAGTGGAGACTATCAACAGTTCTAATTTATTTTGGATCTTAAACTTATAGTATTTAGAAAAGGAATGAAGCTACAAGATTCTTTGTTTGAACATCAGAATTTTATGGCACAAAATCAAAGAACATGATGAACTATAGGCTATCTTAAATAGTTATTTCAAAATTAATATGCAGTGAACTCATTTACTTGTACTCGAAATCAAAGGGCTCAACTCCACTTGTACTCAAATTCTCAAGTCAAATACTTATCAAAAAACGGAAGATTAACTACGTGTTGAGTATTGCGCCAATGACTCAAATCCAGGCTAAAATTCGAGTGCTTCTGAAGCAAAGCACCCCCTTCAAATCTCCTCCGGCCATCCTAAGATTGTAAATTACTCTACAATATGGGCATCTCTGGAATAGTCTTTTACTGTGAAGTTTTACATCTAAAACCTTATCCCCCCTCAAAATTTGTTTATAACACTGTTAATAAAGAGCTTCAGTTTAAAAAAAAAGTTCTAACTTCTTAAGCCAATAACCAACTTTTTAAACTGACATTTGGTGTAAGAGATGCTTCCTTCACTCCAACTTGCTCTAAACTTCCAAACTAAGTAGCTTGAGCAGCAAACCATGCCTACAATCTAGACTCTATATTTAAGTTTAGGTTGACCTTGCTATTCTGTTGTTCATTTTCCAGACTCTGATCACACACTTATTTGATGGAACCTTTTTTTTAAATTACCAGAACTATGACCCTAACTCTTTAAAAAAAAAACACACCCACCACACATAAAGTAAGAGTCTTTTCTCTCCCAGAAACAAATGGACCAGTACACTTTAATTTAATCCGCACGTTTTCTGTTCAATTCATAGTAAGGGATCTCAACAAGAAGGGAGAAGGTAGTCTATTCCGATCTCCTCCTCTCCTTCCCATAAAATAACTGCTCTAACAACTACCCACCGCCATTCACTCTTTAACCAAGTTTTCATCATCCTGAAATTTTATTGCTTTGAACCTTTTTGAAAAAAATTATCAAATTGGTTTTTTTAATGGATATCTTGGTATACATCATAGGAAATGCCATAATCCATTTAAACCTTCAGTTCCTCAAAAATGGTGAAGGAGATTCAAACAGTATCTTCCTCAAATGAAATATAAACAGCAAATACTAGACATACTCAGGAGGTCAGGTAGCATCTGTGGAGGAAAAACCTCTCCTATCTATTGATGCTGTCTTATCTGCTGAATATTTTGAGCATTTGCTGCTTATACTTCCAACCTCCACCTACAGGAGCATTTCACCTTTTCCAAAACGAAATTCAAGGTAGCTGCTGAATAAGTCAAATATATATTCAAGCATCAAATTTACTTCAGCTAATAAATTTGATAATTTTACCTTTACCCACTAGCATTATTAGGTCTACACTGAAGTTGGTACGAACTCCAAGAAAGGAACTTAAATCATTTGGTGTCATTGCCTCAGATATCTAGTTGGAGCCTCAAATTCTCACTTCTTAAATTTAAACTTTTGGTTTAAGTAAACTAAAAAACAAATCCTAATACTGCAGTTTTGCTACCAATTTTGTAGTACAGACTGATGTTACAAAAAATTAAAACTGATTTAATGCACTGCTCTTTTAAGAAACTGAATTGAGTGTTTGCCAAATAAAGCATCCTATGAAATAACAACAGATATCAGATTTTTTTCTTGAAAATGTCACGGTAAGTTCATGGAGCTGGATTCTTAGAAAACTTTGCAAAACTAGAGTCTACAACTGCAGTAAGTTGTAGAAATGCTAAGCTAATCATAAATGGATTTGCCTCCATTGCAGCCATGGTTCATTCACAAGACCATTTTCTACAGTGGGAAAGAAATCCATGATGGAATTAAGTTTCAAATCTCCCTGTAAATGATTAGTCTTCATACATATCTCAACATTTTAACACAATGATATCTCTCACGTCACAATATTAAATGCAATATTAAATGTCAAATATTTTCTACTTGTACATTACATGTTACTAATCATCCTAGTATGCATGCCTAGGATCCACATGTGCAAACCCAATATTTACACCTATCCAGAATACATTGTTGAACAAGTTCTGGAAGATCCTCAATTTATGAAGGGCCAAACTGGCCTTCCTCCATTTCAGGAAAAGGAATAAAACCATACAAAAGCTTTGCTGGCATGTTTTAGAGCATCTGATTAAAGGTGCTATTTAGTCTTGGCTCATAAACTAGAAGGCTGTCGTTTAGGACAACAGTGAATTTGGCCAATTTTCAGATTAACTATATTTCTGAAATATCATATCAGTTAAACTGATATTGGATTCATTGGCAGTGCCAATATCACACTCCAGTGGAGTAGATTTGCCACATGATTACTTTCTACGAAATTCTAAGCTAGTTATGATATCTCTCAACTCTCACACCTTTGCTGCTTCATGAAGGTACTTGATGAACCAGAAGAAATGTTTCTGGCTGAGCAATTCATTCCTCTCTGAACTGAGAGAATAAAAATTGGTGTTAACAACTCTCAAACTGTACCATAGACAGATTTAATGACTGCTAAAAGTATATTAAATTACAAGAGACAATATATTGTGCTGATGAGACAGGAAGGAACATTGGCCATTAAATGAATGGGCCATAATGTGGCAGATGTGGCCAAGCATGAAGTTTGTCGGTTCAACAAAATTAAATTGGTACATTTTTCTCATGGTTAAAAATCTAGCACTCATACAAGAGTAGAAGATTTGAGAGTACAAGCGCGTAAACCATTTCAAGTTAACAAAACTCAAAAAGCAATCAAAATAATGATGGAAAGTTGGCTTAAGTTCAATGAATGGGATTACAAAGGGAAATTATGCTTCAGTTTATACGATGGGATACTCCAAACTATGGGCTGAAACCTCAAATGCAGTAATGGCTGCCATGGTGTTCAAACTAAGTGCTAACAGTTGTCAGGCCCCTTTAAAACTTTGTGGGGTTGTTTTCTAATGCTGGGCATGGCCCAATAGACTCCAAGACCTGTTTGCTGCTGTTTAAACACATTCTACCATAATCAATTTTAAAAATATTAATATTAGGACTAAGTTATTTATGAGGGAAATCAGTAAGCAGAAATCAGTAAAGTGTAATTTAAATGCAATTGATAAAAATGTGAAACTGAAAGCTAGTCTCAGTGGTAACCATTGCAACTACCAGTGATCGTTATAATAACCCGTCTTGTTCACTAATGTCTTTAAGGAGATCAGCCAATTTTACCTGATCTGGCCCACATGCAACTCTAGACTCAGCACAACAGGGTTGGCTCTTAACTGCGCATTGAAATGGCTTAGCAAGACATTAATTTAGGAGCAATTAAGGATGGGCAACAAATACATCTATGAAAGAATAATTTTTTTAAAAAACACTTTCACTCAAAGCATAATGGAAATCTGGCATTATTTTCCCAAGAAATGTTCAGAAAATTGGGCTTTCAACTCTGTAATCTTATACTTGCTGGATAAGTGCATCAAAGGATTCGAAGCCATGTCAGCTAACTGGGATAAAACAAAGAAAAGAAGATGCTTGAAATCCAAAACAAAGTAAAAATTGCTGGAGAAATTCAGCCGGTCTGGCAGCACTGTGGACAGACAACAGAGTTAATGTTTCAAGTCCCATGGCCCTTCTTCAGAACAACGAACATTTTGAAGAAGGGTCACTGGGCTCAGAATGTTAACTCTGCTTTCTCTCCACAGATGCTGCCATACCTGCTGAATCTCTCCAGCAATTCCTATTTCTGCTGGAGTTGAGCTATAGATCAGCATGGCCTACTGTAGTACGGATGTGCTCCAACATGAATTATCACCTTCAGAAGAGCCGAAGTGAGAAAACCAATGGGAAAATGGAGAATAGAATAATGTTTTGCTCTATTTATCATACACTTTTTCTGGTAATAGAAGTACTGGATAAAATGATGGTCTGTCCCAAGTGATTTAACTGCAACTGGCAATTTGCATTAAATGTCTGAAAATCTACATGTGCAATAAAATGAAATTAAATGACAAATGCATTAGTAGGGCTTCACTGAATACATTAGATGAATGATTGTTGACATTTCAAAATTAAAGGAAATAGAATGAAAAACGCCCAATCACTAGCTCAATGAAGGTCTACCCCATGTAGAAATGGATAGTTAGAAGAAAAAAAGTAGCTTTGCAGAGAATATAGATGTATATAATGAACATTTTTACCTTCATCACCATCTGTGTTGTAATGGAACAGCATGCAACATGCAAACAAAACAAAATGTTAGAAGGCAATTTTAATATTCATCAGTTAATAAAACAAAACTATAGCACTGCGAAACAAGCAAATAATGTTTTCCATGGTTAATCACAGACTAACAATCCATGCTTACAACAATTAGTTCAAAAAAGGAAAGTACATGTGAGCATTCAAAATGAACACATTGTCAACAAATTCAGTTTTAACTATCCGCTAACTTATAATGCAAACTCTAATCATATTTATTTATCAATATTACCAAGTAGCTCATTCATCATTTAAGGATTAAAGTAATTGGTACTGTTGCTTAATAATAATTGATTTGAACACAGGGCTTTGAGATTTGCTGCAAGCTATTGAACAACAGTGTTACTAATGATCACATCTGTTGACCTAACTGTTGTCTAAAAAGGAAGTTAAGAAGTTTTTAAAACTACAAATAATTAATATAAATGTAACATGAAGATATCAAAATTGTCACAGATTTTGTGAACTACTGTAGAATCAAAGTTTCATCAAAATATGTTTAAGGAATTTTTTTTGCATTGTTGTATTAAAACTGTGAGCTTATTGCACATTAAGTTCTTGATGCTGTATTTGCAGAAGTAAATACATCATCTGATTCACTAAATAGCTGTAATTTGTATTCACACTGCCAGACAAAAGTTCTGTGCCTGAGAGCAAACATTTGTACACATCTCCAGTGTAAATCAGTTTTTAACATTTTGTAATTTCAGGCAGGAAAGCCTTGAAAAAGTATCTGCTTCGGTTTCCACACACTAAGGAAGTTTAACATGACACTCAGAGGTGATAAGCTGTCAAACTGAAGCAGTTACAATGCAGGAGAGGAACATCAGAGTTTTAGAAGGTGTGTTTTGTTTGAGAGGGGAAAGAATGAAACTTTATGCTAGTTTTAAAATTACTCTTTTGAACAGAAATGTAAATGAGAATTACGTGAAAACTCTTAAATAACACTTGCAGTGCCATCTTGTGGATGAGTTACAAATTGACATGGCAGCTTAAAGGAAGGCTTGAATACGCATAATAGCTACTTTGATTTAGTACCATAAGTCAGGCAGTTCTGAAAGGTTATGAAAAATTAGGTAACCTTTTATCTAGGGTATTTGTTTTGCACCTCAATGGTGTGTTTTTGGTTGTAAATACAGGAAATTCCAGCTCACAAACTTTTCAGCAGTATATCAAAGAGTGTCAAGCACTGGGGACTACTCGTTTCCTCCCAAGCTTGGGGCATAGCAGTAGCTGAACAGGGACAGAAGTAGGTCATTTAGCAACCCCTACCCCACACCTCCCAAGTCTATTAAATCACCATCTCACTGAATGATGCATGATGCAATTCCCTTTCCCCTACATCCTTTATTCAGCACTTCTTAAGAAGAGCCAGGCATCATGCTTATAGCCAAGCCAATGGGTAAGGGGATTTAACAATAAACTGGTGACTTCAACTTTTAAAACAACAGAAAAGAATGCATTCAATCATCGATGAGGAAAATATAAAGAGCACACGACATCCAAGTCTGAAATATTCACATGGCGCTGCAAATCACAGGATAAAGTGTTATAGATTAATGTTATGTACAATAATAAGATTCTCAAATTTAACAAAACCTAATTATACATGCCTTTATCATAAAGCATTTGAGTTTTTGTTAGCAAATGTGGACCAATTAAATATGATGCCAAACAGCAGTTGCTATAAAGTGTAAATAATTAATAATTCAACTGGACAGCATGGTGGCTCAGTGGTTAGCACTGCTGCCTCACAGTGCCAGGAATCCAGGCTCGATTCCATCCTTGGGTGACTGTCTGTGTGCAGTTTGCACATTCTCTCCGTGTCCACGTGGGTTCCCTCCCACAGTCCAAAGATGTGCAGGCCAGGTGGATTGGCCATGCTAAATTGCCCATAGTGTTCAGGGTTGTGTCAATTAGGTGGGTTATAGGGGGATGGGTCTGGGTGGGATGCTCTGAGGTTGCTGTGGACTTGTTGGGCCGCATGGCCTGTTTCACTGTTCAATTAAAGCGGTCTTGCCAATCAATTAGTATCCTTTTCTCCTGCAGTTTAAATTGTAATGATCTTTTGAAATTTGACATTCTTGCATTGGTCTGACCCTTGTAAGATGGAAAAGTACATTTCCTACACTGTAGGAATTCTATGGTACTCTGGATACCAATATCTAGCCCTCTAAAAACACTTGAATTTTTGTTTTACTGGCACAAAATACTTTTCTGATATGTACTGCATCCATTTAACAAAATTAAAGGGTTTTAATTTTAGGGCATTTAAACAGAACCTGCTCATTTTTATTTTTGCCATCATCTGCACGAGGAAGAAATAGTTTGCACGCATTTATCATATTTAGCAGAAGACTAATCAATCTGTTTGTTATCTAGGTTAAGTTTTTTTTTATTCTATTCAAATTGCTTCAAAAATTGAGGCTTCAGGGAAACCTGTATTCAAATAGGATGAAAACAAATTTGGGGCCTGGGCAAAATTTATTGTGGATATAATAAAGAACCAGTGTAAGAACCATGAAATTATACAAGAAATTTTCATTTTAGGACTGCCAACTTTAAAATCATGTTCCAGCAGCAAAGCAGCCGGCCCTATGTAATACAAGTTGACTGCCCCAACAGTGACCTATTTATACCATGTCTTTAATGTAGTAAAATGAGAGTAACATATTTTTATTTGAGCTGTCAAAGGCTGAAGCAGAAGGCATTAAACTCTTGCAATGGCTGGAATTTAAATCTCCCTGCCAACACAAGGGTGTGTTGGTAAGTCTGGAGGCATAAAATTGGGCACTATGCAGAAGCACCATGCCTGTCATCAACTATCAATTGATAATTGCAGCTAGGGAGACACTGCACATCTTGTTCATTTTTATGCCAATTGGGTATCTTCTGGTTGGGACTTTTCCAATGGCAGTGAAGGCTGAATCAGTGTCCATGCCACGAGTCCTCTGCCCAATGAAGTTGTCCACACCCCACCCAACCTTACACTTAAGAGAACGTCATAATTTGATTCTCTCGCTTTGATGGAACTGATTACATTTTAATTGAAATGTGATCACGGTTTGCTAAAAAATATTGTTGCAATCTATTGGGGTGGGGTGTTAAAAAGAGGGAGACAATTTGCCCTCCTAACTTGGTCCTAACACCTGCAAAAATGTTAACATAACTGCATCCACAGTCAGCTCTAAAGCTAGTTAAGTTATTCAATTTTATTATCACTGACTGAACAAGCCAACAAAACAGTTGACCTGTCTGTCTCCTCTCCACCGATCTTCTCCTTTATCCATCTTCTATCCACCATCCCCCCCTCCTTATTTATTTCAGAATCCCCTTCCCCACCCGCATTTCTGAAGAAGGGTCTAGGCCCGAAACGTCAGCTTTCCTGTTCCTCTGATGCTGCTTGGCCTGCTGTGTTCATCCAGCTCTACACCTTGTTATCTCAGATTCTCCAGCATCTGCAGTTTCTACTATCTCTAAAATAGTCATATACCCCAGATGTAAATAGTGTGCATATAATTTAGTTATAATAATTTAGTTGCATGGAAAGTTTGTTAAAAAACTGGAAAAAATTTAGAAAGTGGCAAAATTCTTTACCTCACTAACAGGTGTTTTGAAATAACCACAGCATTTTAATTTAAACTTTTAAAAATTGATCTTTTTTTGAAAATGTAACAGAGAATAGACAACAGTAATGCAGTGGACACAATTTATATAAACTTAACAGAATGGGGATTTGGTAAAGTGCACCATTATAGACTAATGAATAATCTCAGAGAATGTAGAATCAGCAGTCAAGTGGCAGAATCTATTGCTATCTGATTTCAAGACAGAAAGCACAGAGTGTGAACAAACAGCAGTTACTCAAAGTGGCAGACGGTGTTTTACAATGGAATCTAAAACAGAATTTCCAAAGTTGAGGATACCACCAGATTGGAAATGATAGTCTACATGTGGGAGGACTGCAGCAAATTATGGAAGAACATTAATAACTGTGCAAAATGGGCACACGTTTGGCAAATGAAATTCACCACAGTTAAATGTGGGGTAGTATGAGGTAGGAAGAATTAAAGTTACTTATTACTTGGAAGGTGCAAGTCGAGGTGGGGAAGGGGAACAGAGGGACCATGAGGTAGAAATACACCAATCACTAAATGTTGTACCACAAGTTAGCAAAAGTAGAACAAGTACTAGACTTTACTCCTAGAAGGATAGAATTGAAGAAAAGCAGGAAATTTATATTAAATCTTGATTAGACCATATTTATACTGCATGTTACTCTGGTCAACCTACTATAAAAAAGGAATTGAAAGGCACTAGAGAGGCTGCTCCCCACAAGAGGAAACATTCTCTTTGCATGTACTCTTACTAAAACTTTTCCAAATCTTGAATACCTCTATTAGGTCAAGAATCAAGAAAGCGAGTAACACAACAGTTTCCTGATATATTTACCAATTTATTTTTGGTTTCATTCTTGTAAATCTACTTTGCACATTCTCTAGTGCCTTAAATCCCTTTTTTAAACAATATATTGACCAAAGTCACATGCAGAATAAATATAGTCCAATCAAGGTTTGAAGTAAATTTCTTGCTTTTCTTCAATTCTATGCTTCTAGAAATTAAATCTAGTACTTGTTCTGCCTCTGCTAACCTGTGATACAACATCTACTGACTGATGCATTGCTACTCCAAGGTCTCTCTGTTCCTCACTCCCACCTAGATTTGCCCCTTCCAAGCAATAAATAACTTCGCTATGTTTCTTAACACAATGTACTACCACATACTTAACTTTTGAGTCCAAAACTAGAACAAAAAGCACAACAGTGGGCAAATCTACACTTGACAGCACCAAAGTCATGACAAAGCCGCAGAACTTAACTTGCATAACACAAAATTGTCCATTTGCACCTAAATTTTGCATTCAGGTCTAACAACTGGTATAGGACAACATTCTACACAGTAAGTAGGCTTGCGCATACCCAGTGTGGGCAGGCCCACCTGAACATAGCTCCAATCAAGCTTTGGGCAAGTCCCACATTTTCAACTGCTGGCTGCCAGTTTTCAAATGCATTACAAAAGGGCAGCTGGGAGTTGAATTTCTCTTCCTTAGTCTCTGATTTTACAGAATAATAAAAAAAGACTGAGTTTTAAAATATTAGTATTTTCAAAATCTTGAGCAGCAAGAATTAAATTCAATCAATTCACAAGAAACAACACAAAAATATACGTAACAACTTTTTCCAAATCTACAGTTTGTAAACAATTATAAAATTGGATATTAAAATGTGATGGGAATGCATGCCAATGGATATTCTCTCATCTGTTTGCTATACCTTTGGTGAAAGAACTGTAAATCTCTTGACCAAAATATCATTCATTTTACCTGGGATTCCATGATTCTTCTACCAAAGCTATAGCAGGCAAGTGGAAGAACCCCAGGGAAATTCACCACCACTATTCTTCAAAAATAGATGTACTGATTTCACAAAAGCTATACATAGGTTTATGTAACAAACAATAGGTATGATGCATATAAAATAATGCCTATATAGTTATGCTCATGAGAAGTCTGCCAAATAATATTAAGATTCATATTATTGAATTGTTCCTAAATTCAGCACATTACCTTTAGTGGCTCCTGCTGCCCCCAAGTGGTAGATGGCACCCAAGATATGCCAAAAAGCTTTCTGTTCATCAACTGAAATACCAAGCACTTTCATAGCAGCTTGAAGTTTATTAAATTGTTGAGCTGCCTTTTGCTTCTCTTCGGGCTGCAAAAGTAATTGAAACAAAACCATATTTGACAATGAAATACACACAGACAAAATACATGTATATTTATGTATATACACATGCTGAGTAAAATCACTACATATTTTCAATTTATACACTAATAAAAACATCTTTTTGCCTGTTGTTAAGTACACTACTACTCTTATATATCGTACCTCATGGAGGAACAAGAGTCGATTGTTTACTATCCCTTTAACTGCTGCTATTTGGCAATGGAATTTTTAAAATGGATTTAAAGAAAGATAATTAACCCACATCCAACTGATTCTGTACATAAACAAAACTTAATAAGCTGCTTTGTTGAGCAGAAGTGCAGAATATCTGAGGTAAGGAAACTTACTGCAACATAAGAAAACAGTTTTATCCCCACATCATACTTTCATAAACTGTAAACACAAAAGAAATTTAGCCTTTAACTTCAATTGATAACAGGTTAACTAGCCAATGTGTTCCATATTTACATCTTCAATCTGATGAGGTTAAATAAACACTACGTAAATTGTGAAAAGGCTGACAATACGTCAACACTCAAAATGAAAGTTAAATATTTTAAGACTGAGATATACTTTTGCTTTGGAACAACCATCAAGATTTCAACCCAGATATCCTAATGGCCAGAGAGCAGTTGCAGCAGAGTAGGTTGGAATTGCAAACTAAAACCTGCAATCCAGCCAACTCCACATGACCTGTCTGCAAAACTGAATTTCCAGATGGGCAATTCCCCTGCATTTGGAACCCTCCATTTGGATAATTCAGAAGTTCTAATTCACTTAACATTAATTGCCACCCAGGAGATGTTAGTTGGTTAAAAACTTACAATAATTCCTGACTAAGTATTAAAGTGACCCCTCTCAACCCCAATCTCATTATTGTCAAAAGTTCATCTTAAAAACAAGCTCTAACACACCCCAGGCCCCTGATAGCACCCCTGTTGATACACCACCACCCCCTCCCACCCAGAAGTGATACACCGCATCTCTGATCATACCCTTACCTGACATTTCAATCCCAGTTAGACCAGAGAACTCCCTGACCAGATCCAACACTCCCAGCTTATCCTAATCAATACAGCATGGAGCTGAAGGAACACAGCAGGTGAGGCAGCATCAGTGGAGCAGGAAAGTCAACGTTTCGGGTTGGGAACCTTCATCGGGATTGGGAAGGGGGAAGGGAGCTGGGAAATCAATAGGAAGGAGGAGGGAGGAGGGATGGGGCTGGGGGGTAGGTAGGTGGGATGGTGATAGGTGGATGCAGGTAGGGGGTAGTGGAGATTGGTCATCCTCACATACCACCCCACCAACCTCCACAACCAGAGCATCATCCTCCGCCACTTCCGCCCCCTGCAATCCAACCCCACCAAAGAGATATTTCCCTCCCCACCCCTATCTGCCTTCCGGAGGGGCTGCTCACTCCACAACTCCCTCGTCCACGCCACACTCCCCACCAACCCCACCACATCCAGCACCTTTCCCTGCAACTGCAGGAGGTACTACACCTGCCCCTACATCTCCCCTCTCAGCTCCATCCAAGGCCCAAAACAAACTTTCCAAATCCAATAGCGGTTCACCTGTACATCCTCCAACCTGGTCTACTGTATCCATCGCTCCCAATGTGGCCTCCTCTACATCGGTGAGACCAAGTGCAGACTTGGTAACATATTCGTGGGGCATCTGCACTCTATACGCTATAATCAACACCACCTTCTGGTTGCCAACCATTTCATCTCCCCCTCCCACTCCCTTGGTGACGTGTCCATCTTGGGCTTCCTCCGGTGCCACAATGACGCCACATGCAAACTGGAGGAACAACACCTCATATTCCCCCTCGGGTGCCTACAGCCCAATGCCCTGAACATAGAATTTACCAGTTTCAAGATCTCCCCACCCCTCGGCCTCATCCCATATCCAAACCACCCTCTCATCCCTGCCTCCTTCACCTGACACAACCTGTCCGTCTGCTTTCCACCTATCTGCCCCACCCTTCCCAATGGCCAATCCCTACTACCCCTTACCTGCATCCACCTATCACCATTCAACCTACCTTCCCCAGCCCCACCCCTCCTCCCTCCATTTCCCAGCTCCCTTCTCCCTCACCAGTCTGGTAAAGGGTTCTGACCCAAAATGTCGACTTTCCTGCTCCTCTCATGCTGCCTGACCTGCTGGGTTCCTCCAGCTCGACACTATATTGACTCTGACTGCAGCATCTGCAGATCTTGCTTTCTCCCAGCTTATCCTAAGTACTTGTTCAGTAAGCTGGCACCCTGGCATCTTATCCATCTGGCATCCTAACTCTTACATTACATATTTACCCTTTCACAGGAATTGTCAAAATGGCTGGTCATGCTGTCAGACATTTAAATCATAGTCACAGTGTAGTGATTGTAACAAGGTCAGCCAGGTGGACCTCATAGGAGTTCCCTGATTGGGAGTGTTAATCTGGTCCAATCAGGGAGCCCTGGCTGACAGATATAAACAGGAGTGTCAGAGGTTCTGTTCACTCTGATAGCTGGCTCTAAAGAAGCTGGACCAGTGTCAAGGACTATCCACGTGTAAATAAAGAGTGACTTAGTGACAGGATACCAGCTTCTGTGGAGTTATTTCACACAACATGCTACAAAAAGTGATGAAGTTTCTCCGAAGATTTTCTTCATTGCTTGATTTGTGAATTCCTAGACAAGCTTGTAATAGGAAACCTTTGCCCACAAATCATCAGCGCAGAACAATAAAGGCAAGTGGATGAACTTTTGCCCAATTAGGGTCAGAAATAGGGGATCCAGAGCTGAATGGAGTATCTGGGACACGATATTCTAATAGTTTGCAAAGGGTGCAATATTTTCCTTCATTGATAGTTCAACGTAGCCATAATTTAAAATCCTTCAGATTCTACTGCAAACAGTACCTGAGAAGGGCAAGATGTTCTGGTGGGGTTTTGCCCAGACTATTAACTTGTCACTTCTCTCTAGAATGTTCTTCAAAGGAATTGTTGCTACTTTGGACTTCCAGCTTCCACAGTATTTTGATAACGCAGTGTGGAGCTGGAGGAACACAGCATTTTGTGAAGAAGGGTCCCGACCCGAAACGTCAACTTTCCTACTCCTCTGATGCTGCCTGGCCTGCTGTGCTCCTCCAGCTCCACATTGTGTTATCTCTGACTCCAGCATCGGCAGTTCTCACTATCTTCAACAGTATTTTATCTTTTTGTTCATCTCTCAGTTACACTGCCTTTAAATTTTATGTCATCTATTTTAAGTATTTGTGCCTGGAGATCTAGCACTTCTTTTTATTCGATACTAGTTCATTTATTCCAATTCCCTTCAACTTTCTGCACAGCTATACGAAATACTTTCAAATTAATAAATCTTTATTACTTAATACATCAACTAAGCCCATTATTGGAGATTAAAACTTTATTCGGCTGCCCAAAGGCCACGCACACTTTTCCTGTTATCAGCGTCCTTAACAATGGAATTGTTATCTTACTTAATATTTTAGCACATCTAAACTCCATCAGCTTACTGCACTAAAAGGAATCAGAAACAAATCTGCAACAAATTATTCCCTTTCCTCTCCCAACTTTTAAACTTGAATTCCTCCTAAACGGATAATTATTTTACTGATTGTTGAATAGAATAAAACTGGAGAATATAGAATGCAAATATTAAATATTACATCAAAAAATCATTTAAATATCAAAGTTACCTTCGATAAAGGTATAATTCCAAAAGCACTGTTTTCTGCGAAGTGATTCAGATGAAGCTCAGTTCTGTGAGTAACAAAAATATGAAAACCAAGATCTTGTACAGAAATCTGTAAAGTTAGCAGTACAGGGGGTTCTTTAACCTTCAACAATAGTATAAAATGTACATTACTGAGTGCACATCATTTATTGTACACATTTTTCTTTCTACTAATTTCAAGATAAAATTAAAATGACCTCCACAGACTATGTACCTTAGTAGGCATTAATTTTGGGCTGGTCGCTTTTTGAAAAATTGAAAGAACCCCCCTTTAAATTCTACGCCATATTAAAGGTTATACAGAGTTAAAAAGAACAAATGTAAAATTGGATTCTTTCAAAGGTACTTAAAATTAGAAGGAAATATCTGTTCTTTATTTAAATAAATTGTTTCAAACTACAAGATTACAACAAGACATTTCGATAAGGCATGATGGATTAAGACATTTCGGCCATATTTAGAATAGCTATACATTATAGAGATTCTGGATGGTTAAACAAGCTGACCTGCTAAGTACCTGAAACCAAACAAATCAGCACTGCCCACGATTGATAGTCAATCATGAGATAGTTGCTCTTCCTGCTGCAAACATGACAGTTTTACAATTGTGGCCTCTGTGCCCCTAGATTAAGGATGGGAAGCCTAATTGGGGTATCCACTTACGATCATGCTCCCACTACAAGTAGGCACATGGGTGTTGAGGAGACAGATTTACATTACATAAAACCACAAAAAATAGAAACAGGAATCAGATGTTCAGCCTTTTAAATCCACTCTGCCATTTAGTGACATTATGGTTAATCTTTGGCTTCAATACCATGTTCCTTATTGCTTTTACTATGGTACTCTGATACTGAAATGATCAAATTGTCAGTGGACACTACCACTCACATCATACCACAGCTACATGGTCAAAGTGCTAAAGGGCACCTATGGAATTAATAAAGGCATTTCATATTTGACATACCATCTACTTTACCCTATCCTCTTTCCTCTCTAAGGATTATTATGAAGTAGCGGGGGATTTGGTACTGGATTTGAAACTATCTAGTCATTGACAGTGTTACAAACTGAAATTCCATATGCACCGACGTTACCTGAGAGTCAAACTGCCTGAAAGTAGAGAACAAAAAGAGCAGACCTAAGAAATACATTCCAAGAGAAACACATTCAAAAAGAGTTGAAGGAAAAGTGAGATCTGGGAAGTAGTTTTGCAAATGCAGCTTCCAGTCATCAGCCAAGATCAACTGAGAATATTTGTGCATTTTGAAGGCTTCCTCTTAACCTAAAAAAAATTCGCATGGCACAAGGACATGCCCAATGTGTTATCTTGGGTATTAAGGAGTTTGTGTTCTAACGTTTAAACCTATTGCTATTAAAAATGTATTTTAAAAAAAAAATCATTCTTGCTGCAGAAGTGGAATCCATTATATTCACAACTTACAAGGTGATCACAGAATGATAATCAAATTGACATTTTCTAGGAGTCCCAAAAGCAAATCCATCCTTTCACTCAAGGATTGTAAAACAGATCTTTTCCAACAATTTAATTTACGGAAAGATTGCAAAAAAAAAAAAAAAAATCAAAGAAACCATTGACTGTGGGCCGAAATATTCAAAACTGTTTTAAATCATAGGGCAACAACTGGTAACATTCCTCATTTCTGGCCAATTTGTCTTTCATTCTAAAGTTTGGACATATTCTTATAATAGTAGTTAGAATAGTTTTGATTCTTCAAGTAATACCATGCTGAAAGGTACAATTAAGGTCAAAGGTCAAAGGTCAACCCCTGTTTAAAAATTCTACTAATTTTGTTATTAACAGAAAGAAGTTACAGGAATAAAAGATAAAATAATCATCCACACAGAATCAAAACAAGTAGAAGCTTTAAAACTATTTCTGTACCTGAGAGCACTGTCAGCACCAGCCATCAGGTAGTAGAACACATTGAATGCACCTTCATTCTCTGGACGCTTAGATACCCTGAGTTTCTCCAAAAGCATAGTCTAAGAAAAGAAAAAACTGTTGAAAATATCCTTTTTTTAATACAAGTATCAATTCAATACTATTTACCTAAATTAACGGACCGTACCTATCTTTCTAGGATTCAATGAGACAAATTTGTGTGCCTCATCTCACACAACTACAGGGTTGAGACAAGACTTGTGGCACAGTGGTACTGCCCCTACCTCTGGACCAAGATGCCTGGGTTCAAGTCTCATCTATTCCATAGGTATTAGCCATTCTGAAAAGGTTGATTAGAAAATATCTAAAGGTCAGCTATAAAACTACAGACTGGTATCCTTCACTAGAATCATTTGCAAATGTTTTGAACACATCAGGCCTCATATGGCACAATGGTCATGTCCCTAACTCTAGGCCAGAATGCCCAAATTGAAGTACTACCTGTTCCAGAGGTGTGGAGGAACATCTCTGAACAGTTGATTGGAAAATATCTATATCATCTTGTGGTCCAGTGGTAGAATCCCTACCTGTGAGCCAAAAAACCTGGGTTCAAGTTTCACTTACCTGCAGGCATATCATAGTATGCCCAAATGGGTTGTTAAAAACAATAATACCACAGCGATGATTCCCAAAACCACAATGGCACGTAATGAAGCTCCGTGTCAACAATGCCTTGCAAAATACACCCAAGTGTATAAGTCAAATATATTTTTCCTTCATCTTAAATTCAAAGTGACATTGTTGTAGTAGGAACAGTAGATATAAGAATGAATAATCAAAAAAAGTGTATCGCATAGCTGAAGACAAACAAGGGGATAGGAAACTGTAATATGTGTATCGCAATCAAATTGTTTAATTTGAAACCAGACTAGCTACAGTAAACAGAATGGGGAAAAATATATCACCCTAATGCACACAAAGGGACATCATGATTGGAATACATGCAAATGCTAGGAACTATCATAATCTAGTGGAGTGCTATATAGTGACAGATGAATCAGGAGAAGATCACTCTACAATACAAAGGGGAGAGGTTCCCCATTGATATTGTAGAGCCACAAGCATCATTTAACTCGGGGATGAGATGATTGTCCTGGCTGGTCGCCATCTAAAACGCGATGGACGCCACTGCTGCAGAATGCACACCGTCAGGGGACCCATTAGTAGGTCAAAGAGATCCAATACTGAGGAATGTACTCTTAGATAGGAGTGTTTAGATTTACAATGCACTAAACAAAGACTTATCTGGGAAGTGTGAAGCCCTGTAACAATTGCACATATCCTGCAGCCCTATGATGCTCAAGAAGCCTACGGAACCAATGAGAAAGTAAAATGGATAAATGTGAGGTTCAAATTAGGATCAGGGATGCAGTCTCCGAGTGTGGTTTTCTCTGTGTACACTTGTAGATAAACTTGTTGTTATCTGAACCAGCAATTACCTCCAATCAAACAATCGGTCAGAACAAAAGGACAAGTGAAGAGAATCAGAACAAAAGGACAAGTGAAGAGAAGGGATAAAATTCAACTGTAGGGCTGAGGTTGCTGAGAGTCTGCCATGAAGTGAAGGGAGAAGGGAATATTTAAAGAACAGAACTAGAAGAGCACAGGGTGTAAGTGGCAAAAAAAACGCGACAAAAATCAAGAGAAGCGTTGTCATAGAGGGATTTCAATTTACTAAACGAGGGCTAGTTAGCCGCAATCGACAAGTGGAATTTAATGCTGAAGACGATATGGATAGCTGTATCTTGGATCCACTGGAATTCATTGAGAGTAGAGAATAAATAAAAGGTCAGACCAATTTCTTTGTACATTGTACTCTGAAAGCTCACCTTCTGGCAAAGTTTGCAAAGGAACAAATGGGATATCTATTAAGAACTTGGGCTGGTCATTATTCACAGTCTGAATATTTTCCCATACGGCAAGCATGGGCTGAAGGGGTGTATGTTTCTTACCTGTATAGAAGCTGAAGCCACCTGACCAGCCTGATCAAAGTCAAGTGAGATGATCTGTGAGAAACGTGTGGCATTGCTATTCATACTTGTAGTGCTATTACCAAAGGCTTCCAAAACAGAATACACAGCCTGCCATTTCTCCACTATACATTTGAAAAACATAACAAAGACACATATTAGTGAAGGCTTAAAAGACAGAATGCTTTCAATGTAACATCTAATAAAATGATGTGAATACATTAGTCATCAGGTAGAATACAGCTTCAGTTCAGTCAATGAATTTCTTTGGGACAGAAGTTAATCTTCTGGTCTCTATTCACACCTGGCACAGCTTTTATTACATGACTTAACAACAAGGCATTTATTGCATGCTAGAATGGCTTGGTGCATCAATTTAAAAGTAAATTATTTGAGAAAGTCTGTATGCCAATCCACAGCCATACCAGGCAGAAAAAAAATTAGTACTTGTTAATACCTTGTTGGCATCAGTCTGCGAGCTAAACTCTTGTACTTCTAAATATACAAAGTTGATAAAGGACCCAAAGCAGGTTGCCTATGTGCTACTAAAATAGGGAAAGGTCTGACTAAGTTGCTAAGATTCCTCGGAAGGGTTAACAATTTACTAACTTGTGTTGAGTACTGAGTATGATCCTTAAATTCATTTGCCATTCCTTTACATCAGCTATAAATTTACCTACCTTTTATTCAGTTTCTGTGCCAATTTCAATCATCCAAATTAGAAACAAGAATATGAACACACATCCCTGGGGTCTGAACTGACCACGACAATTCATGGGATGCTTTTTTTTTGTCTTCCACAGGCTCAAAATCCTTCTTCAAAAATCCGTAAGGAACCATTTTATTTCACCATTACTAATCCACACACTCATCTCTAATGATTCTGTGTTTACCTTACCGACTCTCTTTTTATATGCATAAAATCTGTTCTTACTTTTCTTGCTAGTTTACTCTTACATTCTAATTTCTCCCTTGCTGGCTTCTAAACTTCTCCCAATCTTCTGGTGTACCACTAACCGATATGGCAGTTTACACTCTTAATTTTGTATAATTCTTAAGATCCTACTACATCCCTTTTGTTCCACTGAGAAAGAGAGACGGTGTGTCATTGTTGAGTTATAAATATCTATCATAGCTCATCTATACCATTACCTTTTAATATATTTTCCAGTCCACCATAGCCAATTCTATTTTCTTATCTTTGTAATTTCCTTTCTTTACAATAAAGGACTTCAGAAACTAGTTCCAGACCAAAGGTTTTCACCTTTAAATAAACATCAATTCTAAACATCATTAACTAATCCTGTCTCTTTGCAAAATTATCAGATTTAAAATAGGCCCATTTCTTATTTAAATATAGAACATATTTTCTAAGAAACCATCGTGAACACCCTCTATCTTGCAGGCTACTTCTGATCTGTTTCATCTAAACTAGAACTTGATTAAAACAGCGCACAATTTTTCAGTCTGTTCGTTCAGGCACCTATTATTTTTGATTCCCACAGAATAAGTAAGTAATATTAAGGGCCTATAAAATACCCCCACCAGTGACTTCCTTCCTTTGTTGTTATTTATCTCTATCGTTCTGAGCCGCGATAATTTGTCACAATGATACCAATCCCCATCCTTCATGAACAGAGCTACCCAACCTCCTTTTCCTTTCCTTTCATAATGCTAAATACCTCTGAGCATTCAGTTTTCAGCCTTTGACACTTTGCGATTATGGCAAAAATGTTCCATTTTCTGAATAAGTGGTGTGATAGTGTAAATTTCAGAGATTTAATAACTGTTCAAGAATTGAAAGGATCAACAACTCTGTATGGAATAAACTGTTAAGGGACAAGGACAAACGGTTATATGTCTGGGAGTTGGAGGAGTGAAAGCTACATAAACAAAACTGTTTTAACAACTGCTTGATAAATGACTGCCATAAATTATGTCACAAGGACAAATGGCTACCCTGCAGGAGAACTTAAGGAGTTAATCACAGAAAAGCTGCGTCTTCAAACAAACAGTCAATGCTAAATGCAATAAGAACAAAGAAGCTATGTTTAAGAAGGCAAGCTGCAGACTTGATGGTTCCAGAGCAGTAGTTAACATTGAAGATGGAAGAATCTAAAGGATCACCAATAATGTCACACCACAAGTTTGACAGATGGAAAATTATATAAGAATTCAACTCCAGAATTCCTCAGGAGCAGAACTCCAAAGAACAACACTGCACAAGGATCGAACTCTAGACACATCCTGAGACAGACAGTGTTGGTTGGAATCATAGCTAAATTCCACCATTAATTGTGTGCTAATCAAGTTGATTTGTGAGGCTTAACTTGCTTACTTGAGAGATTTTATTTTTGGTTGCTACATGCAATAAAGTTTAAATAATTGTTTCAGTATTTGATTGTCTGTGAGGTTTCTTAGTAGCCAAATTAAAGGTAAATTACCCATAACTGTGGGAATGCTTCCAAGAGGGAAATCTGCAGCTGAATAAGTTAAGAAAGTCCACAGGTTTTCCAACAATCCACTAGCTGACTCGTTGCTAGTGGACTTTCCACTTCGATTAAGACCCTAGTTAAGGAACTCCTACCTGGAGCTGCCAGACAAGTAGAAGGGACAACTTTCAGAATTAAAAGGACAATCACTTACGGCAGTTAAAAAGTGCTGTTGAAGGACTTCTGGGGTTCGGTGCCTCAATTGGCTATGCAGCTGCTGGCTCAGAATTTAATTCCAGTAAAGGCGCAAGAGTGACAAGGCTCTGTTTTGTCACTAACGCTCCAAATTACATTCAATTCCCACCACCAGGCCCACAAGATTACATCCCATGTGTCTATCACAGCTTTAATATCATGTCCTTTTAGTAATTATCTGCGTGATCTATTGATCCATCCTGTCATGAATTCTTATTTGTCCTCTCTCCCCCACTCTGGTTATTACCATAATGATACCCTACTCTACTGCCTTGTCCTTTTCTGGTAATTCCTAAACCACTCTCTATGTAAATTTCCACTCAATTATTCAGTTTAAAATCCTTGCCACAACCCTAGGTATATGATTCCCCAGGAATGTCCTAGTGCAGTTTAAAGTGAACCCCATCCAAAGGGTAAACTCTCTCTTTCCCCTGTACAGTGCTTCATCAATCAAAATGCATTTCCTCCCAATTTTTTGAAATATATATTCAACTCTCTGACATTAATTATCTTATCCCAATTTGCTTTCGGTTCAGATAATAATCCAGAATTCACTTCCTCTGGGAAGAAGTCATCAAGGATGTTGATAAGGTAGCATGCACCCTTTCTACATTCTTATTGGATATTTACAAGCTAATATATAAATGCAATGTTTCTCCAATTTTACAGGTTTTTAGTGCTATACGAGTATTTGCAGAAACATGGGTCTGTTTTCTTCCCTTTTTGAATGTACAAAAAAAGTATTGATAAAAATCAAATTTAGATTAAATTGGACTGAACATAACCAGAAATAACACAATTGAGGATTTACATTTCGACTGTTTATTATAATAGGAATACCAAGTTTCAGACAGATTAAACTATTAATTAGTTTTTCCTTACCAGTCACAACTTTTCCTGTGCTCCCAGCAATTGTAACCAGATAGTGAACAAGATGCTGGCTATTTGTAGTTTTACCACTGCCACTTCTGCCCAACAGAACAATGGATTGGTCCTGCCTTGTAGTCAGCAAATTTCGGTAGGCAGCTTGTGCGATAGCATATACATGTGGAGAGGTATCTTCTCTACGACATCCTTTAAACATGTGCATAACCTAAAATGAATACAAGAGATTTTGTGTATATCACCAAGGAAATTGCAAAAATATTTAGAACACTGCAATCATCAATGTATTGCATTTGCTTGGATAGATTTTCACATATGGCTGTTTGAAATGAAATAGAATTAAATTTCCTAGGCAATTTTAAATGGGTGATGTCAAAATAATTCTTGCCCTATTCTGATTGTTACACAAAAAAAAATTAGAACAGCTACAACTTAAACCACACTCTGCATGTGAGGATTTATTAACTCTCAATACTCCACTGAAGTGAAGAAACACTCATACCTTGGAATGAGTAACAGCAATTCAAAATGACAGCACAACTGATTTCAACAAAGCACAAATTCAATAATTTTTTTGTTTTATTAAGCACCATAAACATTTGTCCTACATGTAAACTGAATGCTAACTAACTTGACTGAGTTTTTTGAAGAAGTAATGAAGGGGATTAATAAAGGCAGAGTGGTGAACGTGATCTATATGGACTTAGGTAAGGTGTCAACAAAGTTCCTCATGGTAGACTGGTTAGCAAGGTTAGATCACATGGAATTGAGAGAGAACTAGCCATTTGGATATAAAACTGGCTCAAAGGTAGAGGAGGCTGGTGGTGGAGGGTTGCTTTACAGAAACCCTGGTGCAGTGGTGCACCACAAGGATCAGTGCTGGGTCCACTGCTTTTTGTCATTTACATAAATGATCTGGATATGGACATAGGAGGTATGGTTAGTAAGTCTGCAGATGACACCAAAATCGAGGCGTAGTGAACAACGAAGGAGGTTACCTCGCAGTAGATCAGGATCTTGATTAGATGGGCCAAAGGTCCAAGGAGTGGCAGATGAAGTCTAATTGTTTAATTTAGATAAACGTGAGGTGGTGCATTTGGAAAGGCAAATCAGGGCAGGACTTGTACATTAATGGTAAGATCCTGGGGAGAGTTGCTGAACAAAGACTTTGGAGAGCAGGTTCATAGTTCCTTGAAAGTGGAGCCACAGGTAGATAGGATAGTGAAGGTGGCATTTGGTATGCTTGCCATTATTGGTCAGTGCATTGAGTAAAGGAGTTGGGAGGTCATGTTGCGGCTGTACAGGACATCGGTGAGGCCACTCTTGGAAGTGTGCGTGCAATTTTGGTCTCCCTGCCATAGGAAGAATGTTGTGAAACTTGAAAGGGTTAAGAAAAGATTTACAAGGATGTTGCCAGGGTTGGAGGGTTTGAGCCATAGGGAGGGGGTTAATTAGATGAGGCTATTTTCTCTGAAGCATCGGAGGTTGAGGGGAGAGCTCATTAGAGCTTTACAAAATCACGAGGGGTATGGATGGTAAATAGACAAAGTCTTTTCCCCAGGATGGGGGAGTCCAAAGCAAGGGGGCATAGGTTTAAGGTGAAAGGGGAAAGATTCAAAGGGGACCCAATTGGCAACTTTTTAATGCAGAGGGTGATGCATGTACGGAATGAGCTGCCACAGGAAGTGGTGGAGGCTGGTACAATTACAACACTTAAAAAGCATCTGGATTGGTATATGAATAGGAAGGTTTTGGACGGATATGGGCCAAATGTTGGCAAATGGGACTAGATTTATCTAGAGTATCTGGTTGGTATGAACAAGTTGGACCGAAGAGCCTGTTTCCGTGCTGTACACCCTATGACTCCATAACTGCGATTCATTGTACGCAGTTCATGGACATCACCTGCGAATTTATTTTTGCCCCTATAAATAAAAACAAACTGTGGTTAAAAGGTGCATTTTTGCAAAGTGTATCTTGTAAACGAAAGGTCATAAAAGTATGGAAAGATCAACTCCAGTTTTGTCCATAGTTCCACCATTAAAAGTTAAGGCAGGGATGAATGTGCCTTTTGTTTTCCTTTAAATGAAATTTACAAATATTTCCAAAAAATTATTATTTCTAAAATAATGGCCAAAAATCTCAGCAGGTTCATGAACTTCTTATTCACAAGTGATTGGTGACTTAAAATCAGTAAGTTTTCAAATGTCAATCATCCCTGAATTACACGAGTGTCACTATCACTGTGCATAAGTTCACCATTAGTATAAGACACAAGCTGGCTGCCTGTTATAACAAAACCAACTCTGACTAGTCAAACTGCTTAAAGGATGATTGGATATTGTAAGCGGGAAGGGAAGTTGGAAACAAGAGTTGATTTTTGTCTTCATATTCTGAACAGGAACTGATGATGCAGATTGCCTAGTCAGATTGATGAATTTTAATTCTATTGCCTTCAGTCTGATTGATAAACTATGATATCCAAATGATGTCCTTCACCTATTTTTATTTTGTGAACAGTGACATCTTTTCACTTCTTTTTGCCAACTTTTGGAAATAGTCAAGCTATCCCACTTGTCTTCATAGAAGGCTTGAGTTAAAAGGAGAGGCTGGATACGCTTGGGCATTTTTCTCCCGGAGCATAGGAGATTGAGGGGTGTGACCTTATAGAGGTTTATAAAATCAACAGACGCGTAGATAAGGTAAATAGCAAAGATAGGATAGCAGAGTTCAAAACTAGGGGGCATTATTTTAAGGTGAGAGGGGAAAGATTTAAAATGGACCTGAAGGCAACTTTTCACACAGAGGGTGGTTCATAGGTGGAATAAACAGGTCAGAGGAAGTGGTAAACGCAGGTACAGTGACAACATTTAAAAGACATTTGAAGACGTACACGAATAGAAAAGGTTTAGAGGGAAATGGGCCAAATGCAGGCAAATGGGACTAGTTTAGTTCGGGAAAACTGGTCGGCATGGACAAGTTGGACAGAAGGGTCTGTTTCCATGTGGTATGACTCTATAAATCAAACTTGCATTTTGCCGTGATGTGTGTTCTAAAGGAACATACAACAAGTTGTTGCCACCTTCTCCCACTCCCACAATCATTCCCCAACTTAAAAATACCAACAGGTTCAGATCAAACTGAAAAGATTCTTTGCCAGCTTTGCACGTCGGTCTCATTTTTATTGTGTGTTCCATTCAGTGTCCAGCATTTTTGTCATTTCAGGGAGACAGTTATACCAGTCTCAAAAATTGTTTGCGAGTACATTAATATGTATGCACTGTTTGGAGACTCACAAATAACATGCACACCTAAATTTATATTTTTATTTGAGAAAACAATGGACAATTTTTGGTTTTGAAATCCTAATATCACAATTATATATTTTCATGAGAAAGGATTTTAAGTGTTAACCAGTTTTGTTTTATTATTCATACATGGGATGTGGGCATTGCTGGCAACGTCAACATTTATTGACCATCCGTAATTGCCTTGGAATAGGTGATGGTGAGCCACCTTCTTGAATTCTTGCTCTAGGAATACTCAGTGCTACTAGAAAGGCACTTTGAATTTTGACAGAATGAACAACGAGAAGCCAATGCAATATTCAAGAAAAAGGGAAATACTGCAGATGCAGGAGATCTGAAATCGTAAAATATTCAAGAAACTCAGCATCTTTGGAAAGAGAAGCAGAGTTAATGCTTTGATTCCAATGACTCTTTCAGAACTAAAAGGAAACTGAAAAACTGTAATTTTCATGGTGTTGATAAAGGGGAGGTGGAGCGAGTGGAACAAGTTACATGGGTGCCCAGAGCAAGACATTACTCAAAAGGGAGGATGGTATTCATGCTCTGAAATTGTTGAACTCAATACTAAGTGATGTAAAGAGCATGAACTGAAAATAAGGTGCTGTTCCTCCAGCTTGCAATGGCTTCACTGGAACACTGCGCAGCAAACCTATAACGGAAACGTTAGCACGAGAGCATTCAAGAATTGTCTGTACTATTGATCAACCACAGTACAGTATTCATAACTCAGTTGCTTAATTGATCATTTTTTTCTAACCAGGAAAGCTGTCATTTTATTTAACTTGTTTAATTAAAACAAATTTAACTTTTTGAAAGCAAAAAAAAATTTTGAAATAACAGTACACTTCATGACTCTCTTATAGTGTTTAGATAATATATTCCTCATTTTTTATACTTGATCTACAGGTGATTAAGTTAATTGATGGCGCCTTAGCAATCAATATGGTACTTCAACAGACCACAATAAAATAAAAAATATCTGTAAGGATTACTTGAAAGACATACCTTCTCAGAATACATTGAAGGAGAGCTGAGGGGATTCACCACTATCAAATTTGATCCCGCATAAGTGTGGATTAGGTTACCCCCATAACGTTGGCGTATTGTATGCAGAACACTTGATTCATTAAGGTACAACAAAGATGCAAGATCCTCCACTCGGTCATAGGTTGGTGGATTTGCCTGATGAATGTAACAATAAGTAAGTAGGGAAGGAAAACTAGTTTTGTTTTTTCCAAAGACTAATAAATGGCAGAAGAGTTGTCCCAAAAGAACGGGCCAAGTGAATTTTCTTGGCAAATTAACCTCATAACCTATTTGCATCTTGAATTTGTCCTTGCTGAAGTACAGAATAAAGCTTAGCTTCTCATAAGGAGAAAAGTAACAACAAATGTGTACCTCATATGTAGAAACAGCTCGCCATTCTTAAATGTCTTCAACTAGGCTAAAGAAATCTATACCAATAGCATTTCTAATTGATTTCCTCAAACACACTCCACTTAAATAAAACGAAACAGCTTCAGTGCAGATTGGCAGAGACAAGCTTGGGATATTCTCCCCTCCACCAAGAATGTACAGAAGTACTCCTGGGCCTTAACCCTATTAAGACAGTCTGATAAACTGACAAATTTCCTGTGACAGGCAGAAAAAGTCCAATTTGTATTAGCATCATAAACATTGCACTAAATTACTGTTTTAAGTATGCACTAATTGAAGCTCACATTTAATAATATGACCTTGTGCATCACAATGGGTTTACAGACACTCATTTTAATTAGTCTGTAATTGCAGTGGTTTAGAGATGTATAGACGATTACATTTATATATAGCATACTTAAAAATCTACCCTTACAACTGGAAGCAAAATAATGTTAAACAATCCTTCAGTAATATATTGAAGGGTGTTGAAATTTATTTCATAATAAAATCAATAACGGAAAAAAAATTCCTGTCAATTATAGTTGTATCAAATTACTGAACTTGCCTTTTCCACATCATCTTCATCTGCATCAAGTATTGTTCTATCATGATCCAGTACTATCCTCACTTTACCTTCTGGAAGGTTGGACGTGCCACCATCAGTCTTTAAATAGGCAGCTTCAGCAAAAAAAGTAAATTAGTTTAGAATATTACGTAGTCCAAAAACACAATTTTATGTATTGCTGTTTACTATGTTGTCTGCATAATTGCAATGTCTGCCATTCACAGAATCATAGAATCTCTACAGTGCAGAAAGAGACCATTCAGCCCATCGAGTCTGCACCGATCCTCTCAACAGCATCCAACTCAGACCCAGCCCCCTACCCTATCCCTGTAAGCCAGCATTTACCACTGCTAATCCACCTATCCTGTACATACCTAGACACTATGGACAATTTACCATGGTCAATCTTCCTAACCTGCACATCTTTAGACCATGGGAAGAAACTGGTGTACCCGGTGGAAACCGTCACAGACCTGAGGAGAACGTACAAACTCCGGACAGTCATCAGAAGTTAATATTAATTTATAAATATTCATGGTTGTTTTGTATCTGCTAAATGCAGGGCTTTTGTGAACTGAAGACAATGACAACAATGATACAAAACACCAACTTCAGCCTATCTTTTTATTTTTCATTCATAGGATGTGGATGTCGCTGGCTGGCCAGCATTTATTACCCGTCCCTAGTTGCCCTTGAGAAGCTGGTGGTGAGCTGCCTTCTTGAACCGCTACAGTCCACCTGCTGTGGGTTGACCCATAATGCCATTAGGAAGGGAATTCCATGATTTTGACCCAACGACAATGAAGGAATAGCGATGTACTTCCAAGTCAGGATGGTGAGTGGCTTGGAGAGGAACCTGAAGGTGGTGATGTTCCCATGTATCTGCTGCCCTTGTCCTTCTAGATAGAAGTGGCTGTTTGTAAAGTGCTACCTGATGGTCTTTGGTGAATGTCTGCAGTGCATCTTGGAGATTGTACACACTGCTGTTACAGAGTGTCGGTGGTGGAGGGAGAGGATGCTAATAGATGCAGTGCCAATCAAGCAGGCTGCTTTGTCCTGGATGGTTTGAGTTTTGTTGGACTTGCACCCATCTAGGCAAAGGGGAAGTACTCCATCACACTGCTGACTTATAGCTTGTAGATGATAGACAGGCTTTGGGGAGACAGGAGGTGAGTTACCTGTCGTAGTATTCCTAGCCTCTGACCTGTTTTGTAGCCACTCTGTTTTTGTGGCAAATCCAGTTGAGATTCTGGTCAATGGTAACTCCCAGCATGTTGCTGGAGGGCTGCTGGGGGACAGGATTCAGTGATGGTAACACTATTGAATGTCAAGGGGCAGTTGTTAGATGGTCTCTTATTGATGATGCCAATAGCCTGACATATGTGTGGTATGAATGTTACATGCCACTTGACAACCCAAACCTGAATACTGTCTAGATCTTATTGCATTTGAATATGGACTGCTTCAGTACATGACAGTACATTCACTATGTGAACATGGACTCCTTCCACCTAGTCCACTAAACTACAGCTGTGCAAATTAGATATGCATAAAGTAACAACTGAGGAATCAGTTAAAACTGTATGATGACTTAATCTATAGCAATAGGCAGTTTCCAGTCTCGTTTTCCAGATCTTGATTAGATGAGAGGGAATTTCTACAAGAAAAGCAATGCTACGTATACTGGTTATTTGATTATTTGGCCCAGAAATTGGGCACAGGAGGAAAATCAAAATAGAAAAGTGGACTGGTGCAGTAGAAAAGCATAAAGTTAAAGAGAAAGACAAAGGAAGAGAACAATAATGTACACCATTAAGGCCCACATATCTGCACCCCCCCCAAACCCCCCACCCGCCAGACACACATTTCTGGAAGGACTTAGGAAATGGAATTCAGCCCAGTGCTAATTTTCAAACTATTCGGACCATTCACATGCATTTCTCAGTATCAGAATTTCTTCAGGGTCTTGACATTCATCACCCAACTTACATACCACCTCCAATGATCTTAAGGCTGGACAATTTGGACCATAAAGAGGGAAGATAATGAATAGCTACATTAATTGGTAGGCTGTGACCAGTGGTACCAACAAGGATCTGTGTTGGACCCTTTGTTATTCAATGAATTCATTAAGAACTTGGTGAGGCTATCCACTTTGGTAGCAAAACTGGGAAGGCAGATTTCTACCTGAATGGCTAAAAATTGAGACAGGGGAATGTGCAATGAGACCTGGGTGTCCTCGTGTACCCGTCACTGAAAGTAAGCGTGCAGATGAAGCAAGCACTAAAGGAGGTATGTTGGCCTTCATTACAAGAGAATTCAAGTTAAGGAGCAGGAATAGCTTGCTGCAACGATACATGGCCTTGTTCAGGTCGCACCTGGAATAGGCACAGAGTCAAACAGCACAGATACAGGCCCTTCGCCCAACTCATCTGTGCTGACCACATTTCCTCAACCGAAGTAGTCCCATTTGCCTGCATTTGGCCCCATTCCTCTAAACCTTTCCCGTCCATGTGCCTGCCCAAATATCTTTTAAATGTTGTAAATGTACCCACCTTTACCACTTCCTCTGGCAGCTCGTTCCACATACACACCACTCTCTATGTGAAAAAGTTGCCCCTCAGGTCCCTTTTAAATCTTTTCCCTCTTACCTTAGGCTTATGCCCTCCAGCTTTGGACTCCCCCACCCTGGGAAAAAATTTTGGCTAGTCACCTATGCCCCTCATGATTTTTTGAACTTCTATAATGTCATCCCTCAACCTCCTATGCTCCAGGGAAAAAAGTCCTGGCCTTTCCAGCCCCTCCTTATAGCTCAAACCCTCCAATGTCGGTAACATCCTTGCAAATAATTTTTGCACTCTTTTCAATTTAATGACATCCTTCCTACGGAACAGTGACCACAACTGTACACAGTACTCCAAATGTCGCCTTACCCATGTTGTGTACAGCTGTAACATGACATCCCAACTCCTGTACTCAATGCTCTGATTGATGAAGGCAATGTTGCCAAATACTTTCTTCACCACCCTGTCTACCTCTTACACAACTTTCACGGAAGTATGTACCTGGTCTTGGTCTTGTACTTGGACTCTCTGTTCAAGTCTTGATCTTGTACTTGGTCTCTCTGTTCAATAATACTCCCCAAGGCCCTACAATAATTGTCTAAGTCTTGCCTTGGTTTGTATTACCAAAATGCAATATCTCGCATTTATCTGCATTATACTCCATCTGCCATTCCTCAGCCCACTAGCACAGTCGATCATCCCGCTGTACTCTTAGATAACATCCTTCACTGTCCTTATCTGAGGAAGGTAAGAAGTGCAGCGAAGGTTTACCAGACTGAGTTCTGGAATGGTAGGACTGACATATAGTTAGGATTATATTTACTGGAGTCCAGAAAAACAAGGGGGAATCCAGATACATGTCATTAAAAAATGTCACAAAAATGTCCAAAACAAAACAGAAAAGCTAACAGAATGCTTATCTTTTCTGTCTAGAGGAACAGAAAATGTGGTGACATGGTAGCACAGTGGTTTGCAGGGATCCAAGTTCAATTCCAGCCTTGGGTGATTGACCTTGTAGAGTTTGCACGTTCTCCCCACGTCTGAGAGTTTCCTCCAGATGCTCCAGTCCTCCCACAGTCCAAAGATGCACAGGTTAGATGAACTGGCCGCACTAAATTGTCCACAGTTTCCAGGTACGTGCTGGCTAGGTGGATTAGCTATAGTAAATACCAGGTTACAGGGATAGAGTAGGGGGATGGGTCTGGGTGGGATGTTCTTTGGAGGGTCAGTGCAGACTCAATGGGTCAAATGGCCTCTTCCTGGATTGTAGGGATTGAATGATTCTATGAAAATAATACAAGGAGGTAGAAGTCATACTTTTGCTGCAGAAAGCCCTGGATAGACCCCACCTGGGCTTTAAGCAGTTCTGGGCATCACATCTTAGAAAGGATATTTGGCCCTGGAAAGCTTGCAATGTTAATTTACTACATTGATATGTGGGCTTCAACAGTTTAAAATTACAGAGAGACATTACACAATCCAGGGGTATATTTCTTTGATTTAGAACTTTTAAAAAAATTGATTTAATTGGCACTTCCAGGTGTTAAAAGGAATAGGAAATGAAGCTATTTCACTAGCTGGGGAATAAAGGACTAGAGCATAAGGTCAGAAATCAGAGGCAGATCCTTCAGAGATGAAATCAGGAAATACCACTTCATGCAAAATGTGGTAGAAGTTTGGAACTCTCACAATGACAACTGTTGCTAGATCAATTCTTTGATTTAAAACTGAAATTAAAAATAACCAAAAGTATGAAAGAATAAGTGTAAAGCAAATTAATGAATTTTAAAAATCCGTCTGAAATTACCTAAAGAAAATCCATCTTTGTGAACCAGCCACACCTTGTCTGCTTCATACCATGCTTGTTCTGTAGCAATCTGCTCCTCAGTCTTCAACTATAATTGGAAAAGTGGGAAAAGGAATTCAAATTACTTGACGAACTAAGGATTTGCATCTTGTAATCCATTTCAAAACGTATCTTGCTATATATTCTCTTATGGAATACAAATCTTTGTTTAGGCACTTACAAAGGTAGGTGATAGTTTATATTAGACTATCTTGTTTTTTTGCCAAGCTTTTGTCCATTTCTCAACCAAAAGTTCCCTTGTCAGCTCTTTTAGAACATGAAGAATCAACATATCACAAAGTTCAGTCACTAATATATTCGAGTATTGTTACATGAAGGAAACTTAAATCTCATCTGTATGATGCAGAAATTAGACCTACATAAATTGGTTGAATAAAATGTCTAACACTGCTTTGCCATGGTGTTATGATTATCTACACAGGTCAGTTCAGTCTGGGTGGAATTTGTGTCAAATAGCACATGTGTACTTAGGTCTTGCAATGCTGAATGTTTAGACATTACGGTTCACATAGCATAAAACTGTACAGTGGCGAAAACATCGTAAATAATGCAATTGAAACTGTAGACTAGATGACTGAATATCTGTAAAAAAATATTTTGGAGGATTTTACTAATAGCAGCTACATTACTTCCACATCCATTTATATCCTTCATCTGTTAGCTTGAACCTAAAGGGCTGACCCTAATTATCAAGCCTGCAGATGTGAAATGTATGGGCTGAAGTGAACTTGATCACCAGTCAGAATGAAATAATATGCAATCATTCCCTAAGAGAAGACACAATTGGTTTGGAAGAACTGCTATCCATACACATCAGCAAATGTTGCAAAAGTCTGAATCAGTTGTTTGTAGGAAGCGGATTCTCAATAATGAGGAAACACCAAGTCAGAACAAATCTAGAAAACGGAATCTCAGATTTATCAACCAAAGGCAATCCAAACAAGGTCTTGCTGGTGTTATCAAAGCAGCCCTTTCAAGAGTAGCACAACACAAAGATGAAGACTTAATAATCTCAATTTTCACATCTGTCAAACATTTCCCACCAAATATTGTAGAAAACTCTTTGCAGTCAAAAGCAAAGCACTATGGACGCTGGAAATCTGAAAAGAAATCCAGAAAATATTGGAAGTACTCAGTTGATGAGGTAGCACCTGTGGAAAGAGAAAGACACAGGTTTCAGATCTATTCATTCATAAGACCCTTCTGAACAGTCAACCTGAAAGTTAACAGGTCTCTCTCCACAGCTGCTGCCAGACCTGCTGAGTATTTTTGCACATTTTGTGTCCTTTTGACAGTCTTTGCTTGGAAGCATCCAACCTAAGAAATTGTGCTATTTAAGAAAATCTGATCTGGTCTGTCAATTACTATTAAATACACTTAGCCCAGTTCATGCAAAGTTATATAGGGAAATATCACATGCCTCTGGATTTAGATTTACATGGACAAGTGAAAATATATTGCATCATTAGTTTACACAAATTTCACCAAGCGTGAAGAATCAAGTGAATTAGTAAGCTTTTGATAGCGCAACACACCATTCAAAAAAAGGGGAGAAAATTAACATTTAAAAACTACTTTCTTCAATTGAAGTAATATCTGATGCAAAAATGTCCTTGAACAATGGTGTTGGCATTAAAATGATGCAGGAGTTCAAGTTGCCAATCTTTCATTATGATATTAATTTGGCTTTGCACAAAGTTAACAATTATTGCATCTAGATTTTCAAATTAGTGCAAGTACGGGTTCTTTTCTTAGGCTTTACCAGCTGAAAATCAGAAGGCAATTCTTGTTATACAAGTTAATTGTACAATTCTGATTTTCCCACTACTCACACTATAAATAATTATCCTGAAATATAGCTACTTAATAAAGTCCTATATGAACGTTTATTGCCAGCTAAAATGATGAAAGGATTAACATGTTACAGTACTTATAATGACCTTCCTAAATCACACATTTACACACATCTTTCTGATCCAATCAGCAAACCCACTTGATAGAAATAGCAAATTCTGAACAGTTAATGTATTGACAAAGAATAAATATTATACAAAGATATTTTAATGTAAGATGATGGCAATAACTTGCATCTAGTCCAAAATAACATTTCTAAGTTACTCCAGATTTATTTTAATGACCCATTGCTATTTTATAATCCTTTAACTGTTATGATCTAGAGCCAAAGCAAGAAGCCGAATGAAGAAATTGAAAAGAAAAAATGAAATTTAAAATCACTAACCTCTATAATTAGGCTAAAATTTTCTTTAAAACTTAAGTTTGTCTATTTTGAATGAAATTCTCTTGAGATGGATTCTTATCAAGTTATGATACCAACACTATTGCAAAAGTTTATAAGCTTATCAAATGAATTCTCCACTGGCATTGCAGAAGATATTGCCAGATAGGGACAGATTGCTAACAACCAATGTTTGGACCTGATTATTGAGCAAACATAAATGTACAAGGAAGTGGAAGTATACAAAGTTTAATATTATATAACATGCAAGTACTTCACAGAAGGCAACTTCTCAAAAGCAGTGTTTAGATTAAATGCCAACCTGGGGCTGAGAAGAAGCAGATGCTGAAGACTGAAGCACAGTTGTTGACACCTCTTCCACCTGATTCTGGTGAGCAGCAGACAAGCCAAGCACAACAAAAAAAAAGCAAACCATGATTTAAAGAATGCTATATTGTATCTGTCACCTTTAACATTCAATGGTTTATTCGAGTTTCTAACATACAAACACATTTCGTTCTCTTTTGCACATGAGCAACCTTGGTTATCTAAGTTTAATGTTTTGATTGCACAATTGACCATTTCTGATGCCTTCCATTTAATTGTTCAGAGATTGCATAGCTGATATTTTTAGTTCATTATTTTTGGTTTACAGTGTGCATAAATAACGGATTTCTTTTTCTGAAGGGCATTACCAAACTATTTATCCTACACCATATCATTTATATGTGACCATTCAATTCTATAGAGCTCACAAATGCCTTTTGAAATGGCCCACCAAACCATTCACCTTTACAAATCATTACAAAGCCTGTTGCAGTTGAATGGAGCTACCCCAATCATCAAGTATGTGGGCAATAAATGTGGCCTTGCCAACATCTTCCACGTTCAGAGAATAAATTGAAGCAAAACTATAAAACTTGATGTTTAAGCATGATGCTAATTTTTAAAGTATAATGCAACTTTACTGTCTTTTTTTAAAGTCTTATGTTAAAGATAAATTCAAAACATCTGAAAATTAAAAACAGTAAACTCTTTTTTATTAAATACAAACTAGGGTCACCAGTTTCTGGATATTTTGATCTGCAGCAAACAGCGAATACTCACAGGTAAATTTACCAGAATTAATTAAAAATAGGTATTAAACTTGTCAGGACAAGTGGCAAAGTCTGGTATTCCAGTCAACTACATGAATCTCAAAAGGTAGCATCATGAATCAAGGTAATTGGGCGAAAACAAAGGCAGTGACTCAGCCAAATTTGACAGGAACAGTGCTTGCTCAATATTGGAAAGCACATACACTGTCATACAAGGTTAGTCATAAATAAGTCTGCCCCTGCCGCTTCCTCAGAATGTGAAATTTGACTTGAATACTTGCCATTATTTCCATGCACTGCCATCTTGGTCTACAGAAATAGGAAGCCAGAGAAGGAAGTGGCACCAAGAAAAGATGAGGAACTACAATGGTACAAGTAACACTTGAAAATGCCAGGATAGGAGAAACAATTGTGATCTTCCTCAAGATCAAATTATCTTGCACAATTGTATACCTTTATTTTCAACTCCATTCCCAGAGAAGTCAAAGTCTTAAGTATGCTTAAATTCATGAATGCGAAAAAGGCAGTTACAATTTTCTTTGAAGAAATCATGTTTCTATAAATTAAAGCTTGTTATGTATATGGAAAGCTTGTTATGTATATGGAGTTTTTTTTTAACAAAAAAGATGTTTTATGTGGGAAGAGAAGAAATTCTAAACCAGTGATGAAAGCAAATGTTTACATTGTCAAATTCTAGCATCAATATTTTTGTACAGAAAAATAGAATTTTACATTCTTATTCCACTTCTTAAAACCTAACTTTTAAAAAAAACAGGAAATGGAACAGGAAGCTGTGGTATTTAGTAGGAAAGGGTGAGGACGGAAAGAAAAGGGCTTGTGTTTAAGTTCAGACAACAATTCAAAACTAAATTAGCCTCAAGACATTGGCGCAGATGCTTTTAGTGTATAAAGTGCAAAAGTTTTATTTTGCACAGACATGTCACTTTCACAATCCCTTCCAGATGCTGATGAAGACTTCAGCAAACAGTGGCTTAATTTAAATGAAATTAAGCATCGCAAAATACCTTGTTACAAATATATTACAGTGACAGATCACAAATATAAATCTTAAAACCAAGATGGTCAAATAATTATCATTCCAAAAATCAATTGATCAAAGTTCCAAATTTACCAAAAAGACACAATGTTAATTGGGATTGGGAGTATTATTGTCAAATAAATCCTCTTTTGGAAAAAAATCCCAAATTTTATTTAATAAATCCTCTTTTGGAAAAAAATCCCAAATTTTATTTAATTTCAATTAGATCACTAGGTGAATTACTTTTGATGCAGTTTTTGCATTTTGTGTAGACCACTAGAAAAATAGAGTAGCAGGAAAAGAACAAGCAAGGCAAACAAAGAGCTGTAGCAGAGGTGTGGGAATCATAGGATAGACATGAAGGCAGCCTTACAGTCCAGCATGACACACGGGCACAGACACCAGCCCAGACACCTGCCTGTGCGAGATCGTTGGAGCGAGTGGAGGAATCTTGAGAGGGAACTAGGCTCTGGGTAGGTGGGATCGCAGGTTCCAGCTGTGACAACAATGCAATGTGAAAGAAACAAGATCCAGATGTAAAAAGTAAGAATAACAAAAGATGAAGTTATTAAGCAAATAACTACACGCATACAGATACAGCTAAAAAACACAATGCAGTATTGACTATTATAGTACATCGACAGTCTTTAAGCAAAATGTCCAAACATCACAAGTTTCAGTTTCCCATTTCTTTCTGTTCCCCCTCAGTAAAGTACATTTCTTCATATTTCATAATTTTCACCATGTGAATTTTATAGATTTGAGTGAAGCACAACGCAAGATGAAAATAGGCCATGATATCTAAATCAAATTACATGTTTAAAAAATATTTCATTAAAGCAAATTGGAATGTGAATACTATGACTGAGATATTAATATTTAAACTGAACTAACATTTCAGATAGATTCTCACGCATCATGCTACATCATGCATACTACAGGCTAATCAACATTGAGGGATGCAAAAAGCGTCTATGTTTAAATTTATTTATATTTTTCCATTAATTCATTACATTTAAAAATCAATTGTTAATAGTTCATTTACTTGAACTGAAAGGTTATTAATTGTTTTTATTAATTAAACCTAGTAGTAGATTTATTCAAACAACTAAAAGGTGCCAGAGGTCAATGGTGATAAATTTTAAAGTGGAAGCTAAGCTACCACTGGGACACATTTTTCAGAAACTTGTCAAATACTTAAATTATAGCTTACGCCTCCAGTTATATTACAAAACTAAGGCAAATATTGAAAAATGAAGTTTGTAAAAAAAAGCTACAATTTTCTGAGGACTACGTTCAGAATTTGAATCTACCATGTAACTTCAAGTACTGTGCACACTGTAACTACAGAAATCTTAAGATTTTAAAATCTATTGACAGCAAACAAAAATTTCTCCAATCCAATTTTTCACACCAAAATAGAATGCAATTCATTTTGTTGAATTATCACTTGAGATGTCAGTACATATTAACAAATAAATTGTTTACTTCAATCTGTTCATTAAGCCCTTACAGTACTGTCATAAAAAGTCTTCCTAATTCTCTTGTCTATTATATATCTCAAAAATTCAAAAAAATGAAATTTCTCCTCCTCACCTACCTACAGCTCTTTGATGATTTTAGATCTATAAACACTAGTTAAAGGCCCACTCACTCGTGAGAATATATTTTCCTAATCAAAATCACTCATCAAAAAAAGTCCTGAAGAGCTAACATGTACAGAATAGGCCATATGCCTTTCTTCTATGTTGTAGGTTTCAAGGCACAGGTGACAATGTTGACAAAGTTTCGAAACTGGTAACAAATGCGATGAAAGAAAGTACTAAAAATATGAAGTGTAAAAAAGCATACTTTATTCAGTACATTATCTAAAAAAATGGCAGCCTTAGGTCTGAAACTGCGCTGACTTTTGGATCAATCTAGATTTTTTCGGAGGGTGTATGGAAGGGGATGGGGTGGGGAGGGTTTAGTGGGGGAGTGGAATGTTGCTTAGAGCACAGAAACAGACCAGCACACCAGCACTGAAGCTGACAATTCCAGTGCCATGCAGTGCATAGCCCAATCGTCCATGTAAGTTAATTTTACTTGAATACAAAAAGTGGCACATTCTAAAAATGTCAATTTTGGACAATTCTGGTTTTGAACAGGTGTACCTGTATTCCTAGCCCAAGTGTAAATGCGAAACTAAAAAAAACATGCAAAAATATTTTTCTCTTATCACCACATCAGATTAAAACCTAAACCAAAATGCTCTAATATTGATAAGATATTACGTCAAGGAATTATGACAACTATGAACGAATCAATAGAATAAATAGTAACAAAGTTTTTCAAATCGTTTAAGTGACCTCTGGCAGAGGGTTAATAACCAGAGGGTAAGGATTTAAAATATTTGGTAATAGAATGCAAGTTTTCTTAGAATCTGTAATACACTGCCTGAAAGGGTGGAAAAGCAGCTTCAAGAGTAAATTCCAAAACAAAATCAGATATGTACTTGAAAAGGAAAGAGCAGGGGTGTGAAACGAATCAGATCGATCTTTTAAAGAGCCATCGCAGGCATGAAGAGCTGAATGGTCTCTTTCTGTGCTGCATAATTCTATGAACTATTACACAAAACTTTCGCAAGTGAACATATGTCTGCAGAACAATACCACTCAAAGCAAAGCAAGGAACTATATGTGAGACTATTGAACTATTAATCTGCCACATGATGCCTTGAAAACAGAAGTTGCAATGTTTAGCCTGTAATAGAAGAGAATTTGAAAGGGAACTTCTCTTTGCTCACTGGGTTCAATTTATCTGTGATTAGCATTCAAAACAAAAGAGGTGACCACTATGATAAAAATTAATCGCATTACTCATCAAGTACCACAAGAATAATCCTAGATGAGTAAAAGGTCTTTTTATACTAAATTCAAACGACAGTCAATGTTTTACAAATCAGAGTTATCTGGACCAGGTAAGATTTGTATTCCTGGGACCGATCACTTAATCCTGCTACAAATTATAACATTTTACACTTGATTACATTGGGCAAGTTTTGATATTGAAATACTGCACAAAATATAGAGTGTATATCCACCTGCAGAAAATGACTAATTAGCACAATTTATCTACATTGCCTACATCAAAAGAGGTTTAAGGGGAGATGTCTGGTGTACATAAAGTTCACACAAGATTCTACATTTAGGCAAGAACGTGCCAACAGCCCAACACAAGCAAAAGTCAAAGCATGGCATGTTTATTTACTGAAGTAGTGAAGATTCTCTCCAGTCTCAGCTGAGCTTCATCTGTATGGGTCATTTGTTGCGGCATCCATTGAGCCTAAAGATCACATGACCAACAATATTAATTTTCTAATAACCAGTTCTCATCATTTAGATTGGACTTGAAATGTGTGTGGTACATGGGCGTGGGTACTGGCCAGCATTAGTGCACATTACTGGGTCACTATGATAAGTAAATGTAAAACAGCACAATTCTGACCTAGACAACAAGGTGCAGGGCTGGATGAACAC